TCTCTGCATGATTTTGCTGCGTGTCCATATAGTTGACAATTGTAGCATCGCGTTACAAATGTAAAGTCTCTGACGGGGCAAGAAGTCCAATGGATACTCTATGGGTAAAATACCTGTGGGAATGTTTATTTTTTGAAATCACCACATTGAACAACATTTTGCAACAAATGTAACTGCATCGATGCTGATGAGATTTGTTCCATACCATTGGAATTAACCTTGGAAAAGACTAATTAAAAAATTCAAAATTTGCCAGAAGTCATTATTATACGCAGACGAAGTTGCGGGGAGCAGTTAGTGTACTATAAAATAAACAGTTGACTACTATTCCAAGGGTAACAAACGTGGTATTTTGTACACAAAAACAATATATTTGCATATCAAACACTATATAAATTCATTAAAACTTTGAGCGAACTCATCTGAAACTATTTAATAAGCAAACGTTTAATTAATGAAAATGGTTCCCGTAACACGCTGTTACTCACTAAGCCTGCGGCCTTGATTACGAACGTGCGTACTATTAATCTTACACACAAATACACACATATCATATTATACCTCTATTCATATTTTATTTTATAAAGCTCAATGTACCATGTACTTGGAAATAAATGACATTCTATTCTATTGTATTCTACACACCAACATGCACATCGCCCTTGGCCATCCACTACTGGACCATGAACCTCCTATATTTGAGAGGGTTCGCCATTATCTCCACGTTTCGCAGCAGGTTGGAGAATTACCTACATATTGGTATCCTACTAATATTATAAATGCGAGATTTTATAATTATGTTTGTTTAACAACGCCTTCATGTCAAAACGACTCAGGGGGTACAGATGAGATATAAATGAAATTTGGGTACACGTTTAATCAAACGGGAATGCGGCAAAAGCTATTTTCATATATTAAGATATTTGTCATCACCTCTCTTGAATAAAAGGTCATATCTGGATCATAATATGTGACATTTGTCGTCATGTCATAAAAAAACAACATTTTGATGATTCATAATATCAATGGAAAGTGTTTCATATTTGCAATTCATCTAATATGACGCTTTTGAATGGAGATTCGTAAAATGATTTGCAACGAGTGAATTCCTATACGTCAAATAAGCAGATTTATAAGATGTTGCTCAAGGGCAACATTTTACAGTTCATCTAGTTTATATTTTTAATAAATTAATGAAAAATGGGAGATTTAGGCCTTTCTGAAAACTTTTTGGAGCATGCACGTGTTTTAGAAAGGTTTTCATATCGTCGGCGAAGTGAGACTCTTCAGGAAATGCAAATTGTTTTTGAAATACCGGAGCCTGAATATGTTGGATTGCTTCGCGTAAATAATAGTGTGTGTCGCAAAATAATCCCAAGAGTTGGAAGCGTATTTAGCCTCTTGACGTGGTGGAATAAGTACTGTATGCAAGATAAGTAGCCACCAAACTATTAATTACTTAAAGTAGTTATACAACTAAGTTGTAATTATCCCTTAAGATTCTTTCAAGAAAATAATAGAGATGTATGTCTCATTAGTGCACTTAATAAAGTGCACTAATGCTTAACGCTTCTGGATCGTATATTACTAATAGGCATGATTGAAGTTGTATCTTATACATAGACGTACTAACAATGAAATAACCTATTTCAACAAGTTTTACACTGAAGTTATAAAATAAAACTATAAATTGTGGTCCTGTACATATAATAAATATTAATGATTATAATTGTGTTTCAGGATATGCCTACACAGAGTGCAAGAACTAATACTAATTCTCTAGTACAAAACGGACTTATAAATAAATAGATTTTGGTCAGCACGTATCTGACGATTTGAAAATTTTATTGTTTCTATTTGCCTTGGTTTTTTACTAGGTTTTTAACTAGATATTATTGTGATATTGATTTTCGACTAGTTCTTCAACGAAATTGAAAAAAATAGGATAATAAGTGAGTGTGTATATTATAAAAATATGGGTATTATAATACGTACGGGATTTGAATCGATTAAGCATAAAATACATTTCCAACCTCAAACTGAGCAAAAAGGGAATAAATTAGTATTAGCACAGCATGTGAGAAAAGTGGAAGAGGCTAGAACGAACGGGAAAAGCTTCTTAATAAGAGCTCTGATCATCTGATCAGACAAACGTCTATGACACAAACTCCCTACAAAACATGATTAAATGTGAGTACATACCTACCTACATATCAAGTTATAGAAATAGTACCTATATTTGGGTTAGCTTCATGTCAGCTTACTTATATTAATTATATTATTGTTTATTTTAATTCCAGATAAATTATGAACGTGTTGTTAGAAATGTTAAGTGCGACTGTGTTTACAACCAAAGTGGCAAGTGTAAGCATGTTGCTGCTTTGATACATTACATCAACACAGAAGAAAGCTTATCAAAAAAAGCAGCGAACAGCAGTAGGAAAAACCCAGCACTCGACAATTTGTCAAAAATACGTTTTTACTTAATAATTTTTACGTTTTTACTTAAAATTATAAAGGAAATTATGAAAATAAAGCAATTTGACACTTGACAGCCTAGAACTGATTCACATTTCTGCCACATCGTGCGCTTCGATCGATTTGGCGTCCCCCACCACCCACTTTGCACATAGCGATATGCAACATGAAGAGAGAGAGAGAGAGAGAAGAGATATTTCAACTGATAGAGATATCATTCACACCAATAAAATAAAGTCACTAAATTTAAAACATTTATTTCATAATCACTAACTAAAAATAACCGAGCAAAGTGTAAACTATTGTTTTTTTCTTCTCCTCTTATAATAATTGTCTTCTGATAAATCAGAATTTGATTTCGTAGCGGGTGGGGATGATGACAGGGTATGAAAATTAAAAATATAATTAGTCCGTAACTTAGGTAATAAAAAAATATTAGACACGTATTTTTTTATTTTGTTGTATAATAAAACAATACTTAGATAAAACGAATCAAAGTTTAGGAGTGGGGGCTAAAACGTCATTTCTTAGTATAAAATGTACTGAGAAGTGACGTCACGCGACATTTCAAATCAATATATCTTCGAAACTATTCGTTTCCGTAAGAAAATAAAAAATACGTGTCTAATGTTTTTAAATAATCTACCAGACGGACATTAAAATAAAAATTAGTCGTCTACCCCATTATGTCCCTGGAATGCGCCGGACTTCAGTGTTCTTGTGTCATCTACTGTAGATCCTGGCTTACAGGAGTTGCAGCAGTTTGGGAAGGTTGTGGCAGGCTTCTCCAAAAAAATTCGAACATCTAAAAATGAAACATGATGAATAAAATTAAATTTTTCTATATTTTTGTAAATTTTACCTTACTTATCATATTAACTATCATTATCTACTATCATTGCCTGGTTTATGGTAAGCTACAATAAAACAACATATCATTGTTTCAGTTAACACAAATACATGCAAATGCACTTGTCCTGCTGTAGTGTATCTTGCGATGAACCAATACTTAAACATCGCACGCGAGATTTGAGTACCCCGATACACCTTTCCATAGTATACCGAGTCCGACATTGCTTTTGAGCGTAGTGCCGTTGTTGCACTCAGGCTAGCCAGACACTTCTGGCTCGATATTAATGACTAATATTAGTACATAAATAAGCTAATAATAAATAATTATACTTACCTTTTCACGTGTATTATTTCTTAATAGATGAAATCCATGCGTTCCATTTTCGCCTTGGTAAGGGAGGACCCCTTTTTCACTTCTCGAATTCCATTCACATCTTGAACTCTGTTCACTGTTACCTACCTACTTCCCAATGAAATAATGTTTAAGTTAAAGAGTTTAATATTTTTTAAGGCATCATCGGCATCTAACATGTTTCAGTTATGAAATGAATTGCAGATGTTTCATACTTTATTGTTACCATTTTATGGTGATTTAGGTGATTCTCTTACAATTCATCAAATCTATCATTTTGGAAATGATTCACCTAATGTTACCTTTTTAGAGTCCCTGTTCCCGCACTATTTATTTAAAAAAAACCATTTACAACTAAATTGCCTTTTATACGACATACGTTACCAATTAATGAAATACTTGTAATAGAAAATATGCATTTAGAAATGAAAAAGAAAAAACGCTAGTGGTTACGTTTCTTTCTTCCCAACGCACGTATCCAGAACGCCTACTGTCCAGCAATTAACAGCCTGAGCTTGATGTTATTGATAAGCTGTCTGTAGATACTTTGTTGAAAGTATAATATTATGTACAACATTGGTCGCAGTAATAATAATGAATACCTGATTTCTAACTACCAAACAGCCATCATCGGTAAACATAGCCAATATTATTAATCAAGAACTGATCTTATTGAATTCTGAAAAACAAACATGTGCGGTTTCGCGATAGAAGGACACATAGGATAGTAGTTTGCTTCCTAGTCCCTATCCCAAAAAATATACAATCCCGAAACCTACAATAAACTATCTAAAAAACATATTATTATATTTCCTACTGGTATAACCCATATTTAACTCCTTAGACAGAGATAATACTGGGTACATAGATCATCGTCCAACGCAAACTACTATTTGTGTTCAATTTCCAACCAGCTACCCAATGCAGCTCTAAACCGAATGATTTAAGTTAATATTGAAACCTTATACTGTTATAACAAACTGGTATTGGCTTTCACCTGTTCCATGGATTAGGGATTTAACTGTAAACATATTAACGTGTTCATTTCCGTGTGTGTTTTGGTTTTGTATTCGAAGAGGGAAACGGTATTGAATTCGCTTGGTTTCATTGATTTATACAGTCTATGAACTTCAAGTATGGTATAGAATTATTAGCAATGTTGAAATTTTCTGTAATACATTGTTATGCAGACTTGATCGTCAGTAATCAAATAATGAATTTGTGGTAAAGTTGTAAATCCCTATGACTAAATGATGATAATGATAATATTTCTAAAACTTCTAGAGTATAGAAAATCACTGTATTATTTTGTACACAGGTCTGCTCTTCAGAATACACTAGCTGCGAATGGCTTCCACCAAACTCTACACTTCTGGACGGAATCTACGACTTCGACGATTTGGATGAAGTATAAAACGAGGAATATTTGAATTGAGAACATAATAAACAATGCAGTGGAAAGATCTTTGTTTGTATCGATGGTGTTTTCGAATAGCCTAATCGATTAATACTTTTAATATCCTTTATTTTTACCCTACCCAAAGATCATGCGGAACTGTCGAGCAAGGAGTGCTTGGTACTATATCTAGTGCTTATGATCAATTGACCAAAAGGAAAATAGTATCTATTATCTGTTTTAACCACTTATATAGGTCCGGAGTAGTATAGTCCCGATTAGAAAACGAGCCGATTCTTACACATTAATAAAATTAATTTACAATTTTAGCTCCATGTCCCATTGGTTATTAAATTAATAATTGATAGTTTTAAATTCAATCAGTAAATAATTAAATCTCCCGATCGATTTCGATTATGGTGGCCAATCCTTCTAACTAGGCCAGTGGACCACGCAGGTGATATTATGAGATATTATAGGTCACAAGTGTGTGCGCAAACACAGGTATCTCTTCCCTCACTCTCTGAAACGGATGGGATGGCAGACCGACACGACGGGAGAGAAGTCAGGCGCAGGACCAACGGCTTTACGTACTTTCCGAGGCACGAGGGTGAAACAGAGCCAAACTACCTCGCTCCGGGCTAATAATGGTAATTTTACTTAAATAATGATGGCATTTTTCGGCCAGCGTGCCACTACGCCAACCGTGCTGTCAATCACTTATATGAGTATAAATAAATCATCATAAAATTAATGAATATAACTCAATCGTTAATTTAGATTGTGTAGATATCTATTATGTGTGTATTACGCATTTCAGTAATATATTAACGTCATAGTGGAGTTAGCAATTAAACGAATACATTAGTAATGTATATGTATATAAAAGGATTTAAGGACTTTATCCTGAACTGAAAATCTAGGAATTAGGCTGGAGCCCAAACCGCCAATCGTAATAATCTGAAACTTTGATGGTGCGTTCTTTATATGACGTAAGTGAATAATGAAAACGAACGATTTTTTGAAACTCGATCCCTAAGGGTGTCAAAAGTCCCAGAGGACACGGTGGAGCATACGGTGGCGCTGTGTCCTGCGTGGACTGAGCACCGCCGTGACCTCAGGAATGTGATCGGCCACGGCGACCGCTCGCGTCCGGCTCTGGTTCAGACCATGGTACGGAGCGAGGGGGACTGGGATGCCGTCTCCTCCTTCTGTGAAGCAGTCATGCTAGCTAAGGAGGAGGCGGAGCGCGTGAGGAAACGAACCTCTTTACGACCCGGCCGTCGCGAGAGACACTCCGGGCGTAGGGGATCGCGAGACGATCTCCGGCCACCGTAAGCACAGGCCTGCGGACGGCGAGCACGGGTGACTCGCCGCCCGACCAGAACCAGGCCCGAGCATACGGCGCTCCGCGTTCCAGTCCACCATGAGTGGGGCCCAATAGGGCTGCTGCCGATGCGGAGCCGCGGAGAACTTAAGGGGTCGCCGGGGCTCCGGCTCGAAGGGCAGGAGTCGGAACGAGGTGATTTTTAGTCAGTAAGAGTATGACACTCCCTCCCGCCTCACCCGGGCGGGAGAAATCATTTGATGATATTCCCCCCTTAAAAAAATAATAAAAATAGGCAAAAGCTAGTTATAGATATTTGTGGATGTAGTGTGATATTACTTATCTTATATTATATCTGTTTTAAGTACCACGGCCTCACAGATAATCCATGTAAAACACCCCTTGCGTTGTGTTTCGTTGTGTAAGTGAGGTTACTGGACTCTCGTTTCCCGGCTCATCCCTTAAAAAATATGCAGATTTTTTTTTAAAAAAAACGTGTCCCACACTAGGATTTTTTCCTGTGTCGTGGGTGCGGCGTTTACAAACACACCAGTTCACATACACATAACACCCAGACCCGGAATAACAATCTGTAGATCACACAGAGTTGTTCCGTGCGGGAATCGAACCGCGACACGTTGCGCAGCAGCCAGTTGCCCAGCCACCGCGCCAACCGTGCAGTCAAGAGTATAACTGAAGTGGGTATGGCTAACTTAATTGTTTTTGGAACAAAATCGTTACAAAGGAATAAAAATATTTTAAGTAATCACTAGTCTCTGTATCCGGCAGTAAATGTGGAAATCGTCTTTATTTAATGGCGACAGTATTATTATGAATAATAAAAGAAAACTATGAGTGTCTAAATGTCACCTCAATCCAAAATAACCTTTGTACGATAAATTGGGCATCAGTCAAGGACAGAACAGTTTCCGTGGGTGTCTCCATTATTTATTCATGCTTCACCCATGCCTTTCTACCTTTTTCTGACTAACCGCCGTATAAGGACAAGCAGTAAAAGGTCTTAGAGTCATATATTATCGCGTGAACCACTACAAACTGTTTGAAGAAAATGTTTCTTTAATAGTGTTGGAGGTTTTTAATGTTATGATTGTTCCCCGTCCAAAATAAACTGACTAAAAAAATGTTATGACTGTTTTGTATAATTATCTTTGTGGCGGAGAAGATTTAGAACATTAGGAATATTCGCGATTTCCTCCGCTGCTGCTTGGTTCCTATCAGGCGTTGCATAAACTGCACTTACATAAAAAGAAAACAACGACTTCGAAAAAGAAGGCTCTCAGTATAACTTGTGTATGTTTGTATGGTATGTATGTTTGTGCGCTATTATCTAGCCATTGGCTAAACCAATTTTGATGCCGATTTCAGAAAAACACTTAGGATAAGGTTTTAGTGTACAAATTAACCGACTTGAAGTCGGTTTTTTCAAATGTTGTTTATAATAGAATTATTTTCGTCAGTTATTATTTCCGGTCGTACTTCAAACACCATGTTAATACGTAGGCAACTTTCAGTTTTGAACCTACCGATTCTGTCAACGTGGACTTTAAAACCTACCAGGGTATACGTATTATGAACAGACAGTTTGCAATCGTTGTCTATAACACATAATGCTTACGTCCACGCGTTTAGCCAGTGTACTGAATGACTGCAGCCAGTGGGCGCTCTGCCAACTAAAATCCCATCTCTTCAATAACGACCAATAAATAAACAAACGTTTAAGCCCATTTAGTGCTGGAAAATAAACAGTTATCTGATGTGATTTTCTCTTTTTCTTCTACGGAAACATCTTTTATAAAAGTAACTTATAATGACTTGAACAACAGAATATACGACCATAAGTCAAAATTATGACTCTATTTAAATAAATTTCAATATTAGTTTCATTTGTCCAATGGGCAAAAGTAATTGAAAGCATATGTCTATACATTTCCCAAATTTTATTACATTGTCCTTGTGCCTTTACACATTGATATAAATATATTTTATTACATAACATCATGCCTTTTATCTCCGAAGGGGAAGGCAGAGGTGCACATTATGGCACTTAATACCACTGTACAATGTAACACCCATTTTTCACTATTTAGGTATGTTATGAGTCACATATACCGGCACGTTTCTCTTTCACAGAATTACATATAGATTGCGCTAGTATACATTAACCATGTTGAATAAGCTTTTCAGGCGTTTTACTGGGAAAATCCGCAATACATATTGGAAAATATCAAGTTACCGGACCGGTAATAACCATTGCGTCACGGATTCCGTGAGGCAATAACAATATATTTGGTTATTCTTTATGTAAAATATTAATTATTATTATTAACAGCGGTCTGTCGCGTTCGAACAAGTGCTGATAATTGTTCTTTTCGGTGAATCCTAATAATGAAAAACACAACAAGTAAATGGTGTTTGTTCATTTTTGACATTTTTGCCTGCAAAGATTTTCGGTTTCAGTTCACAACGTCTGCAGGTTTCAAATTGGATAATTGATATTGGAAAAGTAGATACATACCGAATACCCATGCGAAATCAGAACAAACAACTAGTTTTGTAAAAAAAAAATATGTACTTGTTACGGGGCATTATTATTACCGCACAATCAATTAAAGAGCCATTTTTTATAAATTCATAAATCAAAATATAATCCGATATAAAGAAATAAAGGGTTAGATCAATAATTATTGATACAAGGATTTTGATAAATAATTATAACTATTTATTTAAAATGTGACTGGGTTTTGCTATTTTCTTAGTTTTCACAAAATGACTGCCAATCCTGTTCCACCTGCAATGTCGTTTGATGGACCGACCACATGTCTGTCACTAATCAACCAACAGCCGATAGTCAAAGCTATGACGGTGTAATCATCTTTATTTTCATGAATGACGCACTGACTTCTGGGAATAAAAGCCGATGGATTTCAAAGCCTCACGTGGCTTATTGTTAAATTAATGCGAACTGCCTTTTCACATGCAGGAGCCGTTCGCAAAATGTTTTTTTTTTCATTTTTTTTATAAAAATTTTATCCCATACTACAATTTTCTACTGGATTGTGTTTGTGTGTGTGTGTGTGTGTGTGTGCTTACATACAAGTTCACACACTCATGAAGTCATGACACCTAGACCCGGAACAACAATCTGTGGATTACACAAAGAGTTGTTCCGAGCGGGAATCGAACCCGCGACACGTTTCGTGACAGCCAGTTGCAGCTTACTCATTCGTTTTTAAAGATGCACCACACAATGTTTTGAGGTTCGATTCAAGGAAAAATACGGTTTTGTGTATAATAAAATGATGAGGATTTCCCACAATGAACTAAAGCTTTTAGGTAAATAACAAAAAACACACGTTTACCCTCGTCAATCGTCAATCCCATGACCGACATCAAAGAACAATTGAATCAAATATAAGATCTAATTCTGGATTGATAAAAGATTGTCGCACGCGGAAATTTCCCGGGAGCGTCACTTTGATCTTTAACGAATGCTAACTTTTGCCCAAGACTTCGTCCACGCATTCAAAAATTCGTGGGCAAAAGCTAGTCCCCCTTTCCAAGGTCTATTTCTTTATTAAATACTAGCTTTTACCCGCGGCTTCGCTCGCGTCACAAAAGGATAAAAAGTAGCCTATGTGACATATACCAATCCAGACTTCTAACTTTACGT